CCCCTCCTCTCCTCCTCCTCCTCCTCTTCTTCTGTTTACCTCAAGTTTGAATTTTATCTGCGCAACATTAGCTGGAATGCGGACATTGAAAAAAAAAAACACTCTCTCAGCCCGGCAGCAGCTCCGGAGGAGCCATGTGGCATCAAGCCACAGCAAAGGGGAAAAAGTGCTCGTAGCAACACAAACATGGCGAAATCGCTCCCACAAGCCGGCTTCCCGCGACAGCCCTACCTTCCCTCGCTCGCCTTCCGAACGTCCTGGCCGGGAACCGCAGACCCCTTCTGTGGGGGGCGGCGAGGGAGCCCCGGGCTGAGCGAGGGTGGGCGCACTGGGCGTGTGAAAGGGAAATTGACTAGCCGGCCGATCCGCCCCGCCGGGAGCGGAGAGGACGCCTTCTTCACGCCCAGAGATCGCAAAGGAGAGCAAAATTCCCATCCCAAAGTCCTGCGGGACCGGCTTCCCCACCCGGCGAACTTACCCCAGGGCTAAAGGCACGCTGCTTAGCTCTTTGCCTGGTTCCTTCCTCCCGGGGGCGATGCGAGGGGAAAACGATGCGCACGTAGATTTGTAGAGCGTATTCTTCGAGAATTTCCCTGGGATGATCTGGAGGAGCGGTGGAGACTCCGCAGACAGGTGCCGCGCCGACCGGGGCTGCGGGCTAAAAGTTGTTCGCGCGGTGGGCGGTGGGCGGTGAGGTCCCCGGCCAGGGTCGAGGACCCCGGCTCCCTGCCCCCTCCCCCGGCATCGCCCACTTGTCACGCCAGGCTGTTGCGTGCGCTCGGCTGCAGGGGAGGTGGCGTAGTTTCTCTTCCTCCCACCTCTTCTCACTCACTTGTTTTTGTAGCCGTGGGCTCCCCTAATGCTTTCCTCTCCACAATGTTGTTTCATTATATCATGTCCATCATGTGACACCGGAGAGGCCTCTCTATGGAAACTTAAAGGGGCTCCCACGTGACTGCAGCAGCAACAACAGCAGCAGGACTGGCGGCGGCGGCGGACGCAGCGGCGTCCGTACCTCCACCCACCGGGAGCCCCTCGCAGCATCCCGGAGGGGCTTCTGGCGCTGCAGGAGCCCAGATCGCGGAGCCACAGCATCCGGGAGCCGTGGTGTCTGTGCGTGCGTGGAGCCTGTGCTCATGACATAGGAAGCCGAACAGAAGGAGCGTCCTCAAATCCTTTCCTACAGTCAGCAAACCCACGCTCTGTTAAAATGACATTTCGTGGCTCCTACTTTGTTTCCCCGGAGAGCAATGAGTTTTTCTATCAGGCCTGATTCAGTTTGACAAAAGTCAAAAAAGAAAAACCGGATTTGCCCCTCTGCGAGTTCAGTCAGATCGCTGGGAGAACAGAAATGACAAAACAATAATAACAGAAATAGAACCAGGCATTTGATACATAATTACCATCACCACGGCTTTCAAGCTTTCTGGAATTACATTCCTCCAGTAACTGTTGACGATGCTTGCAGGAGGCAAAATGCAATGCAGTTTTTCTCTTCCGCAGCTATATTAGGGCTTTGTTGCTGACAACAGTGAAAACTTGTTTGTGTCAGGAAGTGAGGTACGGAGATATGACCTGGAAGGTACAGACAAAACCAAAGTGGCAGTTTTTGCATTACTTTTCTGACCACATTCTTTCAAATGGTGACAAGAAGGCAGTCGACTGTAAAATTCTGGGGTGTCTGATGGGAAATAAAATAATCAGAACAACATAATTATCCCTCGGCCATACCATACTTGCTAGACGCTAGAAAGTATACCTATATGTATCTGTGTATATGTAGAGAAAGCAAAAAGCGTGTGCACTTTAATATTTTTGAACCACGAATTTTGTCATCATTTCTAGCATTAACAAACACTTGGGAAGACTGACTCAAGTCCAGGGATGTGCGGAAACTCACAATGTTGAGTGCTGTGGGTATTACTGACTCACAGTCCCTTTAAAAGTTTCTACCATAAATCCCAAATTTCTGTCTTAAAGTTTTTACAGACATGGAGATTTTATTCTGTAAATCTAAGCCAGATCGCTATTTCTGGATTTTTTAGTTCATGCCTTTCCATTTTATAAGGGAAACTGGATTGGCAGAATCAAGAAAAAACTTCGCAGGAAACTGAATAGTGGGATGGAAGATGTTCTTCTCTTTTGGCCTGGCCCTGACTCTATCTCTTTCCACCTCATCAGTTTACCTCATCAGCCATGATGAATGAGTTCCACTCCAACCCATTTAATTCTGTAATATTTATCCTAAGTTGTACCTTCCTATCGCATGCTTAATTCTTTGATCCCTTTCCTCCTACACCCCTTACCTCCCAACTCAGCCCCTTTTCTGCCTGAGGGCTCAGCTCAGGCCTCCCCAAAGGCTGTACCCCCTCCTCAGCCCTCCTTCCCTTGCAGCTACCCCCACCCTCACCCCCACCCCCTTCCCAGCTCGAGTCTCTCTTCCCCGAAACTCTACCTCCTTACCTCTCCTTGACCTCTAATCACCTTCACAGTCTGGCCCTTCACTTCTGGGCCTCTTCTTACCTCTCTTTATCTGAAATGTCCTGGCCCTCACTGGGGTCTCCTCCACACCCTTCTCTCTGGTCCCAACCCTTCTGCTGCCAAGCCCCAGCGTTCCTCCGGCTCGGCCTGGTCAGCTTGAGCCTCATTTTGATCGCGTGCCCCTGGGCAGGGAAAGGAGTGTGTGGTGCACAGTGGGGCCGAGGATCCCCCGGGGCCGTGGCCCCTGCCTCGCCCCCTCCGCCCCTCCCGAGTCCCTGTTGCGGTGCTTCCTGGGCGGATGGCTTGGAATTGCTGCAGCAGCTGCGGTTCTGCTGTGTCATGCAAGAAGGAGGCGGCGGCGGCGGCGGCCGGAGCTGGAGGGGGAGGAGGGGAGGAACCTGATCCTCCGGTAACGAAGGGCTGGAGGCAAACACGGAGCTCCTCCTGAGCCGCCCGGGAGCAGGGAGGGCTCCGCTAGCCCGGGGGAGCCCTCCCCGCGGGGCAGATGGTAAGTGGGGCGGTGCAGGTGGTCGCCTTGGGAAGGGAGCGCGCAGGGGGGTAAGCTGGGGCGGCGGGAAGTACTAGAAGTCACCCCAGCCAAACTGAAGGAGCCCAGTGTCCAGCTGAGAGGGACCCAGGCCGTAATAAGGATGTCCAGCCAAACGCCGCAATAATTGCTATTCGAATGACGCCCCGAAGTTGACCCAAGCTACACAGAGGGTGGAGTGGAGCATCCTGAACCCAGGGCAGAGCTGGAGGCAATGATTCAGGGTTTGAGAAGCATCAGCCTATCCGCCTGGCGCTTTAAGGTGCAGCTGAGTAGGAAAAGACAACCCACATCGTATTCCCAGAGCCTTGCTGCGCTTTCTGGGTTGTCTTGTTTAAAACTAGTGAAAGGGATGGGAAACCTGCCCAACCTCACTTTAGCCACGAAAATAATGCTCTTGGCCAGTGGCCTTGGACAGACAGCCTCTGGTGCAATAAAACAATCAATAGGAAGAACAACTTCATTCCCCTCACCGCCCTCTTTCCCCAATTTCCTTTGACCAGAGTATCTCCTTCGGCTGAAAGGGGAAAGAAAACTATTTGTGACATTCCCTCCTAGCCTACCTGCAGCCAGCCTCCTCGCCGCACAAACTGCCTACCCCGTTCCTCTCCCCATTGTCAGAGCCGTGATTCCAAGAGGCATTGCAATACTACTGACGTTGGGTGAGGAGACTGCCTGAAACTCTGAACAATTTCACCTCCCTTGCCCTTTGCCCACAGGGGATTCAGAAACCTACAACTAAGAGCAGGGAAATGTACGGGCAGGCTGGGCACATAGGAACATTCCTTCCTTCACCCGAGTGGAGTTCTCCAGACAACTTTTTAATTATGATTATTCCCTTCCATTGCACTCCTGGAAATTTCAAAGCACTTTGTAAAACATCATTTTATTTTAATGTCAGTCATACATTTAGGAGTAAGGGGTTGATGGGATTAACTGAAAGGCTAATGACTGTCTCAAAAGCACATGCTGTTGCTAGGGAACCCAAGCTCCTGCTGCTCTCTAATCACCAGAGCCTTCCGTGGAAATCAAACTGCTCAGGGTGTTATTAAAATGAACGGCATCGGGTTAAAGGCGTTCTTGCTTATGTTGTAGCATCCTGGGTTATTATCGATTGCCTTACACCCACATATCTTGTTTTCCTAATTTGATTTCTGTATTTGCGTCACCGCCAGGGACACTCAGACTAGACCAGTCAGTTCACTTCCTGTTTCTCAGAACTGGTTTATATTTGGTCTCATAGCTCTAGCTGGTAAAACATTATCAAACTGATCCTCTTGGAAAGAAATCTTTGCTTACCGTTGAAAACAAATTATCCCAATTAAATTCTAATTCCCGTGGAAAACGTCATCATTTGAGGAGTAGACCTGCCAGTTGCCATCTGAGAAGCCATCCTTGAAATGTAAAGCCTAGAAAAAAAAATCATCTCGATTTCTTTTACCCAGAATCTTCATTCCTCAGCACTAGAACTAAGACAAACTCGAGTAAAGAGTAGGTTTATGTATACGCCTAAAATGAAGCCAGGGTGGGGCAGGGGGTGGGAAGAAACACCGCATTGAAGCTGGGGAAATCATTTAGACTAAATAAGACATAGCATTGAATGGAATCCAGGCCCAGGAAGGACAAGTAAGCTTGGGTTAGCATTGTGGCATTCAGAGAACAGAGTGTGATTACAAGGCTACACTACAAATAGGAAACTCCATCACTTTGTGTACTAATTGTCTCTTTTACCAATTTCCCTATGTCCCTGGCCAAGACAACCTTGTTTTGTTTTGTTTGTTTTCAGTTCCTTCCTCTTAATAATAAGGACATTGCAAAGGCAACATCATAATGATAAGCACTATGTAAATAGGTGAATTCTGATGCAGATAATTTGTTTAGATGGAAAATAAAACCCTTTGAAAAAGATGTATAATGGCACCAATAGATTGGATGACCTTGAGTGAGCCATTATAGGTCTTATGTCAGTTTCCTCGTGGAAGCTTAAATGAAAGTCTGGACTAAAGGATCTCTAAAGGTCCTCCCATTTACAAACTTCTGTGGTGAAATTGAACTCACTACCTAAAAATTTCAATTTTAGCTGGATTTTGCAATGTTAACTTTTAGCACCTAACCTTTAATGTCTATCCATAGAAACCTTGAGGGAAACGATGGGAGATGACTTTCTATTGATGCATCCATTTTTAGTGTCAGTTGCCAGAAAAATGAAATCTACCTTGCTCCCCAAGTACTTACTCTCTCCCTGCCTCAATGGTGTTGTGGAAGCAACAGGATAAGAGTTACAAAAGGATATAAAAGTGTAGAGAAAGTTCTTTCAGTCTACTTACTTATTTATAACGACAGCATCTCAGCGTATTACCCAGGCTGGCCTCCAACTCCTGGATTCAAGGGATCCTCCCACTTCAGCCTCCTGAGTAGCCAAGGCTACAGGTGCACTCAACCATGCCTAGCCGTTCCATCATTTTAGATATAGGTAATCCTAAGTACTCTGATGATCCAAGTGGTGGAATGATGGAGGGGGGGCTGTACAAAAAAATAATCAACTGAATCCTCATGGAACTAATAATAATCTATATACCTGTGTTTTGATTAGTGCTGGGCAAAAATAGACCTAGCTCAGCTCTTAGAATTATTCAGATTCACGGTATTGAGAAGTAGCATGAAGAAATGTGAGATTTGTGCCAGAGAGAAAAGACCTGAGTTTGAAACCCAACTCTGCCACTTTATTCATTATTGAGTGCTTGCTGTGTGTCAGGTACTGTGCTGGGTGCTGGGAATACAAAGATGAATAAGACACAGTTTCTGCTCTGAAGGACACTATACTATCATGAGAACAAAGGTGAATATATACAGTTGATCACACAAGCATGAGATGATATCAACAGGGGAGCTCATAAGAAGGGTACCTAACGTGTCCACACATAGAATCTCTAACCACACAAGCTGAATCTTGAGATGAGTTCTGAAGGGTATGTAGAAGTCAGCCAGACAAATGGGCAGGTTGTAGGGAAAGATATTCCAGGCAAAGAAAGTGCTGTGTGTGAAGATCTTAGGGAAAAAGCTGTGCCCAGAGAATTGAGGGTGAAGAACAGTGCCTGGCAAGTAGGTTCTAAATAAATACCTTGTATAAACGAATGGCAGAAGTCCTGAGGAGAAATCCAGGAAGGTTAGCATGCTCGAGTATGTCTTCTTAAGAAGTTTGAACTTATTCTAAGGCCAATGGAGAACAACTGATGAATTTTAAAGGGCATAGTAAAATGATCAGATGTTGATTTTAGAAGATCTTTCGGCTGGGTGCAGTGGCTCACTACTGTAATCCCAGCACTTTGGGAGGTTGAGGTGGGCAGATTGCGTGAGCTTAAGAGTTTGAGACCAGCCTGGGCAACATGGTGAAACCCGGTCTCTACAAAAAAAAAAAAAAAAAAAAAAAAAAAAAAAAAAATTAGCCAGGCCTGGTGGCCTACACCTGTAGTCCTAGCGCCTCAGGAGGATCACTTGAACTGGAGAAGCAGGGGTTGCAATGAGCAGGGATCATGCCACTGCAGTCTGGCCTGGGGAAACTTACAGTCATGGTGGAAGGTGAAGGGGAAGCAGGCACCTTCACAACGAGGCAGGAGAGAGAGAGCGTGCAGGGGAGGCTGCCACTTTTAAAACCATCGGATCTCATGAGAACTCCCTCACTATCATGAGAACAGCATGTGGGGAACTGCCCCCATGATCCAGTCACCTCCCACCAGGTCCCTCCCTCAGACATGGGATTACAGTTTGATATGGGACACAGAGCCAAACCATGTCACATTATAAGAAAGAAATAAGGATGGATGTCTACACTAAGGTAGCAAGAATGGAAATGGAGAGTGGAGGGATTGAAAGGCTTCAAGAGATATGAAGGACATAGAACCAACAGAATTTGATTATTGATGGTATCCTTCATCAGTGGTATCCTCCCATTTTCCTAAACTCTCCTCCTATCATATCCTGCAGATATAGCCTGAGGTCCAAGATAGGGACCTCAGGAGGAAAAGCAGGTTGTGGAGTGAAGGTAATTAGTTTACTTTTCAACATGTTGAGTTGAAGTGTCCATGGGATATCAAAGTGAAGCTATCTACTATATAATTGAACAGGGAAGTCTAGAACTCAGGAGAGAGAGATCTATGCTAGAGTCGTCAGAATAAGGGGTAGTTCATGGATGTAGATGAAATCCCTGAGAGAAGGGATAGAGAAAGAAAAGAAGAGGATCTACTTTGGAACCTTATGAAAACACCCATATGTTAAAAGTGAGGAAAGAAAACATACAGGGGAAACATATCCCAAGTGGTAGAAGGAACAGGACAAGTAGTTTCAGAGGAGACATGGGAGGAAACATCAGCAGTATTAAATGCCAGAGAGAGGTCAAGAAAAAGTGGCCGGATGCAGTGGTTCATGCCTGTAATCCCAGCACTTTGAGAAGCTGTGGTGGGCAGATCACTCGAGGGTAGGAGTTCGAGACCAACATGGCGAAACCCTATCTCTACTAAAAATATTAAAATTAGCCACGTGTGGTGGTGCGCGCACCTGTAGTCCCAGATACTCAGGAGGCTGAGGCACAACAATCACTTAAACCCAGGAGGCAGAGGTTGTGGTGGGCTGAAACCGTGCAAATGCACCCTAGCTCGGACGACAGAGCAAGACTCTGTCTCAAGAAAAAAAAAAAAAAGAAGGGCCAGACGTGGTGGCTCATGCCTATAATCCCATGTGATCC